ATGCTGACTCGGTCGCTGCCCCTCCCCCTTAGAGTAGCTACTTTGTATTCTATTTCTTTCGTACTCTGGTTTTGTACTCTGATGAACTTTGTAATATTCTTGAAATGGTAATGTTTTGTTTCTATCTTCAATAATGCTCTTTGGTAATTTAACTTGATGCCTTTGTCGTAACTCTTCAACAAAAAAACCAAAGTGGACTTTAGAGAATGATGGATGCGAACTTTGATACATGATCAACCCGCTTTCATTAGTCGGCCCATTCTTCGTTATTTAATCGATGTTTGTATGTTTGAACACATGCCCACCCCTGGAGGTGGTCGAAGCATGCGACCATCCAGCCTCGTGGCCTTAAACATGATGGATTTTAAGTTTTGGAACACATGCCCACCCCTGAAGCATGCGATCATCCAGCCTCGTGGCCTTAAACATGATGGATTTTAAATTTTTGAACACATGCCCACTCCTGGAGGTGGTCGAAGCATGCGCCATCCAGCCTCGTGGCCTTAAACAAGATGGATTTTAAATTTTTGAACACATGCCCACCCTTGGAGGTGGTCGAAGCATGCGACCATCCAGCCTCGTGGCCTTAAACATGATGACTTTTAAATTTTTGAACACATGCCCACCCCTGGAGGTGGTCGAAGCATGTGACCATCCAGCCTCGTGGCCTTAAACATGATGGATTTTAAAATTTTGAACACATGCCCACCCCTGGAAGTGGTCGAAGCATGCGACCATCCAGCCTCGTGGCCTTAAACATGATGGACTTTCTACGCCATTGGACTTCTCTTTTACACTCATGCTTTTGTGCTCGTCCTCTGGGCTTGAAGTTGCGCACATCTCTATGCCCCTGTCTTCATGCGTCTTCACCTGGCTATAAGGTCTTTGTTACGGGGAATTCGCTTTCACACTTTCCCACCCGCGAGGAATGTTCTAAACAGGAGGTCTTCGACCAACCTGCCTACCCCAAGTGATGTTCTAAATAAGTGACCACCCAGTCCGAGGGCCTTAGTCATGGTGGGTTTTGATCTTCACACTTGCCCACCCGCGAGGAATGTTCTAAACAGGAGGTCTTCGACCAACCTGCCCACCCCAAGTGATGTTCAAAACAAGTGACCAC